GAGCTGGAGAGATGGCTCAGCGGTTAAGAGCACTGACTGCTCTTGAAGAAGACCTGGGTTCGATTCCCACCACCCACATGTGTGGAGAGCCACAGCCTCCGCCGCCATTACAAGATGGCGCCGGTATCCGGACCTTCTTAACAGTAAACATCCTGCTGCGCCCATAAGGGGCGTGCACAAGAGCCTGCTCTCCCTCGCCTCCTCCCGTGGCGTGATCTCCAGCAACCAATCCGCTTCTTATACGTCATAGATGGGACCTTTAGACTATATAAGCAACCGCTCTCCCGCTTCTCGGCGTCTTCGGTCTTTAAGCTTCTAAGAGTGTAAGATGCGCATACAATAAACTGCTGCAGAAGGATCCTGACTTGTCCTCCCGTGTCGTTCTTGCCGGCGAGACGGAAAGCGGTCGGGGACATTGGAGTGATATAATTTTTGTACACAGATCCCCCGGATTTCATGTGTTTCAGTGCCATTAGGACTTTCCAGTCAGGTGTGGTCATACATGCTTGTAATCATAGGCTAAGACAGAAACATGGTGAGTTTGAGGTCAGCCTGGGTTACAAAGCAAGAGCTTTCTCTACGGTCCAAGAGCATTGAGTGGTGGAGCCAGGACTTGCATAGTGCTACTCCATGTGTGTCTGGTCTCAGAAAAGGAGTTCGAAATAACTGGAGTGTATAACACATATGATGAGAGGTTGGTGGAGAGAAGTAAGGGAATGGATTGGGAAGGAAGGAGTTAGGGGTTAGCCAGGCATGTAAAGGAGCAATTTTACATCACTGAAATGCCAGCCATATTATCCACAATTTAAATTTCTGCTTTAAAATATTTCTTGAACTCTATTTTACTTGGTAAGGTATAAATATAGTCTTGACACAACTCACATAACTTAAACATGAAAGGTCTCTCTAACAAACTATTATTTTGGTTGTGGAGTTTTTACAACTGTGAGTAAAATTATCTGAGAAAACTTCATTATATAAATCTTTACCATACCTACAAACTTTATCATCTATAGTTTTCTTTACTGAAATACATTTATCTTTTTTGTCTAAGATTGAACACAATTATATTGTAAGGGTAAGTCACAGCCTTCAACAGTAATGGAGCTTTAAATTTTGTGTTTTGATATTTTGGAAAAAAACAAATTGATTCAGATTCAAAAATTTTCATATACATAACTTTCTGTTACAATTCTATTCTTTGAGTGAAAGAGCAAAAAGGACATGACATTGTATATGAAGGTATTTTGTGTGTGTTAGGTTACATCTGGCAAATTTATCAAGGGGGCCTGCTTTATGTCAGGTATGAGGTAGTGGCTATAGGAAACTATATTGTTAACTCTACCTAACCATGTCACACCAAAAGGTCGGTAGGACAGTATTTATCTCAGAGATCCAATAGGATCTAGATGGAGATGGTTATGTGTGGATATTTGCAAGCAAATTGTTTATATGTTTGTGGAGGGCAAGAAGCCTCACAGTATATCATCTGAAAGCTCAGAAACCAAGAAATCTAGTAGTGTAATTCATCGTGAATCCACAGTCTTGGGAACCAAGGGGATTAATGGTATAAGTCTCAGATTGAAGCTGGAGGTGTGAGAATTTGGAGCGCTGACATTCAAGGACATGGATATCTCCTCCCCAGGAGAGAGAGCTCCCTCTTCCTCCAACTTTTCATTCAGTTTTGGCCTGAACTTATTAGATGATCCCTGTTCACATTAGTGAGGATATATCTTTTTGATTCAATCAATCAATTCAAATGCTAATCTCCTCTGGAAATTCCTGCAGAGACACATCCCGAAATCATGTTTAACCACCTATCTGAGTATCCCTTAGCTCATTCAAGCCGACATACTGTTGACAGCATAGTTGCTCAATGCAAATGTATGACTTCCATAGGAAGTCAGAGCTGTACACATCTCTTGATGGTGAATCCTTTGTGACCTCCTTGGAAACACCAGAAAAGCACATGGGATTTGAAGTCCTTGCTAAGGGCGATCCTGCACAGAATTTATTTTTACAGTCAAGTATTTTAGGCATAAATTGAGCTTCATTCTTGAATATTTTCTGAGTGGAATCAGAGACATTTATTGATTAGCATTCTGGCGTTCTGTGTCTCAAGAATTTCTGTGTGACCAAGCTTCTCCAAAATAGATTTGTACCTGTGAGTCAGTAGAATTGCTTTATTTGTCCAATAATAACACAAATCCTTTCTCATTGGAAACTCTATTCAAGTTAATGGAAATACGATTTATATGGATCAGGCAGAGCTGAGGGAGGCACATTACCCCTGATGATGGGGTTAGTGAAGGACCAGTAGAGTGGCCTGGATTCTAATTCTTTTGTGTTAACAGCAACATTTTTGAGATTAATGACCTGGTATAGTCTGGAATTGAATGATTTGACTTCCTCTGGTAAAGAACATTTTAGATTATATGTTGCTTCTAAAGCAAATATATTAGAGGAAAAAATCTGCATTTGTACAGCTGTCTTTAAAAAAAAGTACTCAGAGTTTTCATGGGAGAAAAGCGTCTTTAAAGGATTTTCACAAGAGAGTCTTCAAAAAGGACAGGGAATTTTTGCCTTTGTGTTGCCTCAGGGACCATCTCAGAAGCTCTGACCTTTGCAACATGAATGCACAAACTTCTACATTTTGGTTCATTGATTTAGGTTTAAGAGATATCTGCTATAAACCTATTTTATTGTCACTCATGACTTGGGGAAAAGTTGAAACTACTTTCTGGAACTCTAGATTGTGGGTCAGGGTAAGCACAGTGTGCTGGGTAGCCTCAGTTGTCAATTTGACATACCTGGGTAGGGGGAATCTCAATTAAGGAATTTCTCCATTGGATTGGCCTGTGGTCATGTCTGTGGGGCATTTTCTTGACTGTTGAGTGATGTAGGAAGGCCCAGCCCACTGTGGGCAATGCTACACCTGGGCAGGTTGTTTTGTATTGTATAAGAGAGAAGGCTGAGCATGAGCCAGGGGAGCAAGCCAGTAAGCAGCATTCCTTCATAGCCTGTGCTTCAGCTCCTCCCTCCAGGTTACCGCCCTGAGTTCCTACCTTGGGCTTCCTGATGAACTGTGACCAGGGAGATGTAAGACAAATAAACCCTTTCCTCCTCAACTTGGTATTGGTCAGAGTATTTTGTCACAGCAATGGAGATACAAGCTAGAACAGAAATTGGTACCAGGATTAGGGTATTACTGTGACAGACCTGACCTTGGTGTTTTGGGGAGGATTGTGGAAGCATTTGAAACTTTGGACTGGAAAAGCCATTGAGTGCTTAGAGTTTGTTGCTATAGAGCTTGGAACACTTTGGTTAAAAGAATAGTCAATGGAGGCCTGCCTTGTGAAGCTTCAAAGGGAAGCAGAGACCATCAGGGCTGTTTGTGAGCTATCTTGAATTGAGAATCTGTGGGTTCTGGTCACCTGGGGCTGACAAATCAGCTGTGATTAAGAAGATACCAGAGTACTCACTTCGGCAGCACATATACTAAAATTGGAACGACACAGAGAAGATTAGCATGGGCTCTGTGCAAGAATGATATGCAAATTTGTGAAGCATTGATATTTTTAAAACATTGGGAAAAACCTACAAGATATAGGTGTAGGAAAAGATTTTCTAAACTGGACATAAACTGCTCAGGAAATAAGGGGAAGAAACTAAAAAGCTTCTGTACATCAAAGGAGGCAACCGAGGAAGCAAACAGAAAACCCACAGAATGGGAGAAAATCTTCACCAGCGACACATCCAACAGAGGTTTAATAACCAAAATATATAACAAACTCAAAAAACAGAACCAAGACAAGAAGGAACCCAATTAAAAAATGGACTAAGGAGCTGAACAGAGAGTTCCCAAAAGAAGAAGTAAAGATGGCTGTGAAACATCCTAAAAAATATTCAA